CAAAAACAAACAAAACCACCTTTTAGGCATTTTGATTAGCATCACTTTGAATTTATAGATTTATTTGAAAAGATGAGCCAGAGTTTGTAAACATTCATTATAAAACTTCTTAGAAAAGATAGATTAAAAGCAGAACTTTCTCAGTACCTTTATTTGCCTTCTTTCCCAGAAGTTCTCCTTCTGTGTTTTTTCCCCTCATAGTTCCCAAGCCACCTCCTCAGTTGGCGTCGCTGTCACTGTTAAGCAACAGTCAATACCTGCTATTTTCTCTCCTGACCCTCACCCTGATCTAGGGACTCTAGAGGCACTTCTTCCTCGTCTCTTAGATCAGCATTTCCACTGGCACCTTTGTCTAGCTCCTGCGCTTGTCTCGTAATTTTGTGTATAGTGTTTTTTTCATCATGCTAGAGTTTCAGACTGTTTGTTGCTACATTTTTCAGCTTTTTTATGGCTTCTAGATTTTGTGTCCTACTTAAAAAGATCTATTCTGTTCCAGGATTATAAAAATATTTCCCTATATTTTCCAAAAATACCCATGATTTTGTATTTTTAAAATTCATTTAAAAATTCATTTGCAGTTTATTTTTGCAAATATTGTGAAGTAGAGCTCCAGCTTCATTGTTTTCATATGTCTTTGCCTTTTTTAATGTATTTATAGGAATTTTGGTTATTCCTTTGTTATTTATGTTCCAAATATTTTGCTTGTCTTTTTAAAAATCATATTAGCTTTATTTTGTGGTTATAGAATAATACATACAGTAAAAAAATTAGAAAATTATTAAAATAAAAATTATCTGATCATATTGAAGTGAGATTGACAGAAAAAAAATCTGAAAGCCATTAAGGCAGAGACAATCACTGTTAACATGTGGGTAAACATCCTTACATATTTCTGTATCTATTCATATGTATTACCCATGTATATTGTCTAGTATATAAGAAATCATGGCCATGGAAGGGGATATGTATTTAAAGCCTATTTCACACTGTTGTCATTATAAAACTTCTTAGAAAAGATAGATTAAAAGCAGAACTTTCTCAGTACCTTTATTTCCCTTCTTTCCAGAAAGTTCTCCTTCTGTGTTTTTTTCCCTCATAGAGTTCCCAAGCCACCGTCCGTCAGTTGGCGTCGCTGTCACTAGTATAAGCAAACAACAGTCAATACCTGGCGCGGAGCGGGTCTGACCCTTCACCCTGATCTCAGGGAGCTAGAGCACTTCCTTTCTCGTCTCTTAGATCTAGCATTCCACGGCAGTTTTGTCTAGCTCCGCGCTTGTCGTCGTATTTGGCCTGTGTTAGTGTTTTTCATCATGCTGGCGAGAACTGTTGTTGAGTTTTTCGCTTTTTATGGTTCTAGATTTGTGTCGCTACTTAAAAAGGGATCTATTCTGTTCCAGGAGTATAGACAAATATTTCGCGCGCCCCTGCAGTATTGTTCCAAAGGTACCATGATTTTGGTATTTTGTAAAATTCATTTAAAAATTCGATTGCAATTTTTTGTGAAATATTGTGAAGTAGAGCTCCAGCTCATTGTTTTCGCATCAGTGGATAGCCAGGTATCTCTAAATTGCGTATGGATATTGTGTGATGTGTTGTGTGTGTGCTTATGTGTGTTTTGTTTTGTTTTTTTAGAGACAGAGTCTCAGTCTAGTGACCAGGTGGAGTGCAGTAGCAAGATCAGCATAGCTCACGACAGCTCCGAAACTCTTAGCGCTAGCAAACCTCCTTCCTTATCCTCCCCAAGTAGCTGGGTACTACCAGAATGAGCCACCACACCCAGCTAATTTTTTTTTTTTTTTGTAGACGATGGCACGTCTCACTATGTTGCGCAAGGCTGGTTTAAAAAACTCTTGGCCTCAAGCATCCTCCCACCTCATTCAACATTACATTTTGTTTAATTAGTGTATTTTGAGACAGAGGTCTTGCTTTGTCGCCCAGACGTGGAGTGCGCAGGGATGCAATTCGTCGGTCTCGGGCTCACTGCAACCTCCGCCTCCTGGGTTCGACGATTCTCCCTGCCTCAACCTCCAGAATAGCTGCGGATTTTACAGCCCCACACCACCATGCCTGGCTAAATTTTGTATTTTAGGTAAGAGATGGGTTTCACCATGTTGGCCAGGTTGGTCTCGAACTCCGGGCCTCAATGATCCGCACTACCTCAGCTTCCCCAAAGTGCTGGGGATTACCAGTGTGTGTGTCACTGTGCCCACACAACGGCATTATATTTTAAATGGTTTTTCCTTTTTTTTTTACTGGCTTGTATACCGACCCTTGACCTCTTCTCATCTACTGATCGATATTAGGCTACCTATAATCAGTTTCCAGGGTTGCAGTTATTACAGCAGGGTTAGTATTGTATATTTTGATGAATAATAGGCAGAGTCTACCAGCGGGTGTTTTTTTGTTTTTTTTGGGAGACAAGGTCTCACTCTGTCAAGCCGATGCTGGAGTACAGTGACATGATCACAGCTGCTGCTGCCTTGGGCGCTCGCCTGTAGGCCTCAGGTGGATCCCTCCCACCTCAGCCTCACAAGTAGCTGAGACTACAGGCAGCAGGCCACTCATGCCAGATAATTGTTTTGTAGGAGATGGAGTTTTGCTGTGTGGCCCAATGGCAAAAGCCATGGGCTCAAATGATTCGCCCACCTCAGCCTCCCAAAGTGCTGGGAGTACAGGCATGAGCTCCTGCGCCTGGCTACCACTATTTTTTTCTGAACATTTCCAAGGCCTGGATCTGCCTGTCACGGTGTTTTAAAAAACCTTTTAGGCCAGCACTTTGGGAGGCCAAGGCAAGTAGACTGCTTGAGGCCAGGAGTTCGAGACCAATCTGGCCAACATAGCGAAACCCCGTCTCTACTGAAAAACAATACAAAAAATTAGCAGGATGTGGTAACACGCACCTGTAGTCTCAGCTACTCGAGAGGCTGAGGCTTGAGAATCACTTGAACCTGGGAGGTGGAGGTTGCAGTGAGCTGAGATTGCGCCACTGCACTCCAGCCTGGCAACAGAGCAAGACTCCATCTCAAAAACAAACAAAACCACCTTTTAGGCATTTTGATTAGCATCACTTTGAATTTATAGATTTATTTGAAAAGATGAGCCAGAGTTTGTAAACATTTTTTCTACTGCCTCCTTCATTAGTTGAGGAGCCACAGGCAGTTTGGCTGCAGAGGGGAGGGGATTGGGGTGAGACTGGAGCAAGGAGAGCAGGTTTGGGTGGGGCAGAGAGGATGGACTAGCTCTTGGTGGATGGGATTGGTCAGGGAGTCCGATGATGCCATGGCTGGGAGGTCAGGCAAGACTCCTTGGGATGGGGAGCCCCAACGTCTCTTCTCTTGTCAGAGAGAAGCTAGTGAAGATGCTGGTGGAGCTGCTGACCAACCAGGTGGGAGAGAAGATGGTGGTGGTGCAGGCCCTGCGCCTCCTTTACCTGCTCATGACCAAGCACGAGTGGCGACCGCTCTTTGCCAGGGAGGGTGGCATCTATGCTGTACTGGTCTGCATGCAAGAATATAAGACTTCTGTCTTGGTGCAGCAGGCTGGGCTGGCGGTGAGTACATTGGGCCTGGCGGGAGAGAACAATGGGCAAGACAGGCAGATTGGGGACTACTGATCTTAAGGAAATACTTTGGTGCTTCAGACCAGTGAGTAGATTTTGGAATGGAAAGATGGAGATGGATTTAAGAGTTTGATCCGGACATTCTTGGGGATTGAGTGTTTGGAAAAAGGAAAAAGGGAGTTTTGGAGTTATTTTTGGTGGAGACAGGATCTTGCTATGTTGCCCAGACTGATCTTGAACTCCTGGGCTCAAGTGATCCTCCCACCTCAGCCTCCCAAAGTGCTGAGATTATAGGCATGAGCCACTGTGCCAGGCCAGGAGGCTTTTTGTTTGTTTGTTTGTTTGTGACGGAGTTTCTCTCTGTTGCCTAGGCTGGAGTGCAGTGGCGCTGTCTCAGCTCACTACAACCTCCACCTCCTGGGTTCAAGTGATTCTCTTGCCTCAGCCTCCTGGGATTACAGGCATGAGCCACCATGCCCGGCCCAGGCCAGGGTTAAGAATGACTCCCAGGTGTAAAATTAAGCAGCAGGGTTGCATGAAGTGGCCGTTTACTGAGAGAGAATGTGGCAGGAGGAGGAGATATGGGGAGAAGGTCAGGAGTTGAGTTTTCAGGTTTGTTGAGTGTTCCTGCCTTTTTAGTTATGATTAGGTGTCTGGTTAAAAACTAATTTTCTAGATGTGACCAAAAAGTTTTTTTTTTCCTCTTTTATCCAAGTGGCACCCTTATGTAGAAAATACTCTGTTACTAGATTTGGGTAAAACAAAGCCAGCATTGCCATTGCCCAGAGAATCGGGAAGGAAGGCCCTTATCCAGAGTAGCTTACAGAAGAATTGGCTTACTGGTTACTCCAGACAGAAGTGCTGGCAGGTAGGGTGGTGCAGGCAGAAGAGCTCTGTATAGCCTGAGGGTTCCTGAGGGAGACAGGCCGGCTTTGGCCAGAGCAGTTCTGAGAATGTATTCCAGTAGTATAATGGCAGCAGCATGAACAGGAGCACGTGTCCTCTTAGAGCAGGCTGTCCTGGGAGAGGCCAGGAGGCTCCCTTCCATTACCTTCCCTCCTGTTCCCTCTCCTCCTGTCCCCTCCCCTCCCGTCCTCTCTCCTCCTGTCTCCTCCCTCCCCTCCCCTCCTCCTCCCTCTCTCCCTCTCTCCCTCCCTCCCTCCCTTCCTTCCTTCCTTCCTTCCTTTCCTTCTTTTTTTTTTTAACGGAGTCTTGCGCTGTCGCCCAGGCTAGAGTGCAGTGGTGCGATCTCAGCTCACTGCAACCTCTGCCTCCTGGGTTCAAGCAATTCTCCCACCTCAGCCTCCTGAGTAGCAGGGATTACAGGTGCGTGACACCATGCCCAGCTTAATTTTTTGTATTTTTAGTAGAGACGGGGTTTCACCATGTTGGCCAGGATGTCTTGCTCTCCTGAGCTCATGATCCTCCCGCCTTGGTCTCCCAAAGTGCTGGGATTACAGGTGTGAGCCACCACATCCAGCCTGGGGGTACTTTTCTTTATGGGACCAAGAGCAGCCAGGCATTCATAGTCTAGACCATCATGCTCAAAGAATTCCCTGATCCTCTCAAATTACATGACCAAAACATAGCAATTGCCATCCACTATAGATCATGGCAAAAAAAATAAAAATAAAAATGGCTGGGCATGGTGGCTCATGCCTGTAATTCCAGCGCTTTGGGAGACCAAGACGGGTGGAACACCTGAGGTCTGGAGTTCAAGACCAGCCTGGCCAACATGGTAAAACCCTGTCTCTACTAAAAATACAAAATTAGCCGGGCATGGTGGTGCATGCCTGTAATTCCAGCTACTTGGGAGGCTGAGGCGGGAGAATTGCTTGAACCCAGGACAGGGAGGTTGCTGTGAGCTGAGATTGCGCCATTGCACTCCAGCCTGGGTGACAGAGTGAGACTTCATCTCAAAAAAATCTTGCCCTGAAATAAAATTATGTCATCTTGTTAATAACTTAAAGTCTACAGAACTCAGCTAACTGGGGCAGGGTGGTGTAACTACAGGGAGAAAGCTTCATTGAGAAGTAGAAGTTGCTTGGAGGGTCCAGGCCTTACAAGAGGGATTGTCCTGAGAATTATTTCTAGCCCAGTCCATCTCTCGTGGGTTTCTTGTAGAGAATCAACCCTTTCACCAGGAGAGACAATTTCCGCTGTGATCATGCAGTATCTATTTTAATTTAATTTTTCTCTATAGTCCCAGCAAACAAGTTTACATGTTACAGTAATTTTTCCTATAATGCCAACCACTGCCTGTGAGACAACCAAGAAGTCTTGTCTAGAAGGGCTGGATACTGGCTAAGGCCAGGAGACACAGGTTTTGGAGACTTGGCGTATAGGTGGTAATTGAAGCAGTGGGAATGAACCTGGTTGCCTCAGTGTGGGTGAGTGCAGAGTCCAGAGAAAGGGGACAAGGAACCTCAGTTCCTTGGGGCAAAGGAACACCAGAGAGGTAGGAGAAATGCCAGGAGGATGTGAAGTCATGGAGCTCAAGGGAAGAGAGATTTTGCAAAGGAAGGAGTGCAAGTGAGATGGGAGACAACTGTGAGAAGCCCCTGAAGACAACTAGATGCTGGGAGGGGCACCATCCTGAGGGGAAGATACAGGAGGGGTGGCTGTCCCACTCCGGTAGCCTTGGTGCTGCGAGCCTGGGGGCCAAGAGGAGTGGAAGGCTGATTTTACCATCCAGTCTCAGGGTTTTTTGTTGTTCAGTTTCTTTTTTCTTTTCCTTCCTCCCTGCCTCCTTCCCTCTCTTTGTAGGGTTTGATATCCCATCACTACCTCTTCCATTTCTGTCTCCTATTCTACCTATTTGCAAACAGCTCAGGTGCCCCAAAGTTTGAGGTCTAGAATGAGGCTTCCCTTTCCTCATGGTGGCTTTGCCCCCTCCTCACTCTGCTCTCACATCCCCCTCACAGGCACTGAAGATGCTGGCCATCGCCAGCTCCTCGGAGATCCCCACTTTTGTTACTGGCCGAGATTCTATCCACTCTTTGTTTGATGCTCAGATGACCAGAGAGATCTTCGCCAGCATCGACTCAGCTACACGCCCGGGCTCTGAGAGCCTGCTCCTCACTATCCCTGCAGCCGTGATCCTGATGCTGAACACCGAGGGGTCAGGGCGTTACCCTCCCAACTCCAGGCTCCTGCTTAGTCCCAAACCCTGCTACTCCTGTGCTCCAGGCTCATGTTCTCCACAGAAATTCCCCTCGTGTTGTCACCTCTGGATTAAGCGATTGTTGTTGGAAGAGAATGCAAGTGGATTGGGGATAGGGAGATTCCCAGAGAGGGCAGAGACACACTGACCTCCCTTTATGGGTTTGGGAGGAGTGGCCTGAGGTCAGGGGATCAGATGTCCTGGCTCAGAGGGCCCACTGGAGCCCTTTGCTCCCTAGCTGCCCAGCCCTCTGTGCTTGCTTTGCTGCTTCCATTGCATTCATGGTCTCTAAGGTTCTTCCTGGTCACCTCCCTCCTCCCAGGTGCTCTTCTGCAGCGAGAAATGGCTTGCTCCTGCTCAACCTGCTTTTGTGCAACCACCACACTCTGGGAGACCAGATTATAACCAGAGAGCTGAGAGACACGTTGTTTAGGCACTCAGGGATAGCACCAGGGACAGAACCTATGCCTACCACACGCACCATCCTCATGATGCTTCTCAATCGCTACTCAGAGCCGCCGGGCAGCCCTGAGCATGCAGGTATCATTGTGGAGGGGTGGTTTTGCAGAGGAATCACACAGTGCCAGCCAGTGACCATGAAGGCTAAGGTTTACATATCAGCTCCTTACTGGAAAGATACAAGGAGACTTCAGGAAATGAGTGAGCATTGTGGTGCTCAAGTTAGGTCTTAAGTAGAATTTCCCAACCAAGAAGAGGGAGACTGTGGAATATGTGCAAGGAAATTGCTGTTGCCCAGGTTGAAGTACAGTGGCACGATCTCAGCTCACTGCAACCTCCGCCTCCCGGGTTCAAGGAATTATCCTGCCCCAGCCTCCTGAGTAGCTGGCATTACAGGCGCATGCCACCATGCCTGGCTAATTTTTGTGTATTTAGTAGAGACAGGGTTTCACCGTGTTGGTCAGGCTGGTCTCGAACTCCTGACCTTGTGATCTGCCTGCCTTGGCCTCCCAAAGTACTGGGATTACAGGCGTGAGCCACTGTGCCTGGCCTAAGTTTGACTTTCTCTTCACAGAATAGGGAGGCCTTCTTAAGAGGAATTATAATTTATGGTACAGAACGCTTGTGCCTGGAAACATTAAATATTGATACTGGGGAAGAAACCCTTTGTGATTGAAAAACAAGTGAAAACCTAGAAGTACGGAGGGATATTGAAATAGGAAATATGTGGCCGGATGCAATAGCTCACGCCTTTAATCCCAGCACTTTGGGAGGCTGAGGCAGGCAGATCACTTGAGGTCAGAAGTTTGAGACCAGCCTGACCAAGATGGTGAAACCCCGTCCCTACTAAAAATACAAAAATTACCCAGGCACGGTGGTGGGTGCCTGTAATCCCAGCTACTTGGGAGGCTGAGGCAGGAGAATCGCTTAAGTGCAGGAGGTGGAGGTCACAGTGAGCTGAGATCACGCCACTGCATTCCAGCCTGGGTGACAGAGCAAGACTCCATTTCCAAAAAAAAAAAAAAGAAAAATAGGAAATATGTATGTATCTTTTAGTCTGTGTACCTAAAGCCACCATGCAGGTAGTACAGGAATGTAATCATCATAGTTAATATTTACTATAACTAACATTTAATAATACGACTATAAGAGATTTAAAATGTCTTGTGTTTAACTTGACAATGCTTGCTATACTAGGTTTTTTTTTCAAATGTGATTAGGTTTGTATTTGGGATCAGGAAAGAAAGTCCCCCATAGTTTGGTTAAAAACTGTAGACATCCTCAATATAGAAAGAAAATTTTGGGGTGATTTTCTGGACCTCCCCAGTTCTCAGTTTGGCAAACTGTTAAGACTCTTCATCCACATTTTTCCCTCCGGTGTGTCTGGCTGCAGCACTAGAGACCCCCATCATCCAGGGTCAGGATGGGTCCCCTGAGCTACTGATTCGATCCCTGGTTGGGGGCCCATCTGCAGAACTACTCCTGGACTTGGAGCGTGTGCTGTGCCGTGAGGGCAGCCCCGGGGGTGCCGTGAGGCCCCTCCTCAAGCGCCTCCAGCAGGAGACCCAGCCTTTCCTCCTGTTGCTGCGGACTCTGGATGCTCCGGGGCCCAACAAGACTCTGCTGCTGTCTGTGCTGAGGTGAGAGGCCTGTTGAGGCACCATGCATTGGGACAGGGAAACTGGCAGACTTCAGGGACTTGACTTGTTTCTTTTTTTTTCTTTTTTTTTTTGAGACGGGGTTTCACTCTTGTTGCCCAGGCTGGAGTGCAATGGCGCGATCTCAGCACACTGCAACCTCCGCCTCCCAGGTTCAAGCGATTCTCCTGCCTCAGCCTCCCGAGTAGCTGTTACAGGCATCGCGCCACCCATGCCATGCCAGCTACTCTTGTTTATTTTAGTAGAGATTGCGGTTTCTCCAT